TCGTCAGATTTCATACTAGGTTATATATATAATAGCAAAATAGAGTTTCGTCTTTTTATTCTATCAGTGTCAGGGGTATTAGTTTTTTTTCTTATGGCAATGTTTTTTTTCTGGATTGATCATGTGTCAGATTCGAGCAACGGCGTACGAACGAATTTATCCTTCCGCAAAAATTGAATATAAATCAGCAACTTTTACAAATAAAACAAGTACTTTATCAGTTTGTTTCAGTTTTCTTTCACTATCAATCTACGTGTGGTGCTTCTTCCTTTGCTGTTCTCACTCAGAGTGGTCTCTTTCGCTGCTGTGCTCACGCAGCGCCCCTTCCTCTAGCTTTTGACCGTCTTCTCTTCTTGGTGTGTTTCCCTGCTTCTGTCGTCAGGATTGCCTGTCTCTACTAGTTGTGTTGCCCTGCTTCTTTATTTGCACTTCTCTATCTGATCAATCGTCTATCTCCAGGAAGTTTTGGCATGCTTTTATTCTCGCAGTTCTCTATCTGATCAGTTGTATATTTCAAGTTGTGTTTTTTCACTGTCACAACTCACTGCAAATCTCCGTTTTTTTCTTATTCGTTTGAACAAACAGTCAATTTTGACTCCTGGCTTCTCACGGGTGATTGGGCATCTGGGCCCATAACCTCCCAAGGTTATCGCAGCGACAGCGACAAACGGTTGATTAATAAGGAGTGAATTAATGAGATTTGAGTGATAATTCCATATGGAACTCAGATCAAATGTATGTGGTAAATCACCCGCACAAAGTTGCTCGAACCAATGACTAAAGGTCATAAGTATAATTTCGGGTTATTTTTGGTGTTTTTATAGTCATGAAAACTTAGTTGTTGAAGCTTCATTCAAACCATCCTTGGCAATAGTTTTTCAAAAATCGAAAAAATTTGTGTGAGTAATTGTTAAGTGTCGATGAACGTAGTTCAGATTCTTATTTAGGTTGCGATGATTTTTTCGTTTTTTTTCAGGAAAACTTAAAACATTTTTCAAGCGCAAGTTTACTTTTTCGCAATTCGACTTTTGATTTGTTTTTTAGTTCAATTCGTTAACTTTGTTAAACGGAGGCAAACTCCACTATCGAACAGCAAAATTGTAAAGGTCACGAAAAACCTGATCGACTTCTAGTTTAGACGAATATGACTTTTTACGAAAATCATTTTTTCGAACTCTTTTTTTGGACTCGATCTCGTCTAATTTACGAACTCTTTTTTTTTGTTGAAAGTTGAATTTTTCATAAATTAAGTCATTATTTTTTTTGGTTCATTGACTCATTTCCAACTGTCTGTTGGCTTTGATTTTAATATCAATTTTTTGGTGGAACATTAAGATGAATATAAGTATAAGCTTTCGTTTTGGTTCTTCTCATCGCGTTACGTAAAATTAACGCAGTTTAAAAAAAATATATATTTTTTTTTAATTTATATGGTCGGAACTTTCTGTGCTACTTTCACAGTGACTGCCTGCTCTTGTTTTCTCTTACTTTTCTACCCGCAAATTTAGATGGCACAAATAATCATGGGAATGGGTCGAGTGAGACTATAGGTTTAAATTTTTTCGGTCGTGATTCGATCGACTTAAAAAAAAATTGAGAAAAATTTTGCAGTGTTGAACAAAAAACGATTTGTCGTTTCAACGTTGTTTGATTTCGAGCTATTTTCGGCTGTTTTTAGGCTACTATCGTTCTGTAATAAGCTCAAAAAGGTTTTTTTTACGCAATGCAAAAAATACGACCCATTTGATTTAAAAAAAAACTATATTCTCAATTTTTGTTAATGTGGTCGGAATTTTCTGTGCTACTTGCACAGCAGCCGCCTACTCTTGTTTTTCACGTAATTTTCGGTACCGCAAATAGTCATCGAAGAAATTCGAGTGATATACATATTAAATCCGTTTCAGTCGTGACTCGAACAATTTTTTTTAAATGGAAACTTTTTGCTGTGTCGAGAAAAACCGCCAGTTTTTTTCGGTTTTGTCTAATTTTGAGCGATAAAAGCGAGCAAGTATTTTCTATAATAGGAAAATACGTTTTCATTCAAATTGATTTTCGAAGCTCCGGACAGCGCTTTCTCTGCAAAAAAGTTTTCTAAAAAAATTTGCAAATTTTGGATTTGTTCTATTTATTTTTGTTAATTATTCTTTTTTTGAAAACAAATGTTAATGTTGTCGGAAGTTTCTGTGCTACTTGCACACCAATCGCCTATTCCTTTTTTTCCGCAAATTTAGGGTCCACAAATTCCTGTTTGATTTATTAAACAGGTATTTTGAAAACGTTTTTTTTTTCCAGATGAGATCTGGTTTTTTTTTTTTTTTTTTTTTTTTTGAGACGCTTTTTCGAAAAATTCGCTTTCCCAAAAAACTACGCGTCAGATTCTCATAAAAGTGGTACCAATGGATTCAGTAGCGTTTCACCTACCTGCCTGCATAAAATTTAGGGCAATTTTTACCCTACCCTACCCCCTACGGTCTTAGAAAAGCTTCACAACTCGGTACTTTTTTCACTTTTTGCCCATTTTTTCGGAAATTTTCGATTTCCTCAAAAACTACCCGTCCAGATTTGGGATTAAGGGTTTAATTTATAGACCAGGTTGTAGGAAACTCCCATGCACAAGCGGCTGGTCCCTAATTTGCTTAGGGGAAGAGCTATAGACTTAGGAAAAGTCACTTTTTTGACTTTTTTGGCCTTTTTTGAAATCTTTCCGATTTCCTCAAAAACTACCCGTCCAGATTTGGGATTAAGGGTTTAATCGATAGAGCAAATTGTAGGAAATTCCCCTGCCCATAAAATACTTTAACTTGTAACGAACTTCATTTTGTCAGAAATTCCTTTTACTCTTTTTTGCAACAGTTCAATATGTTTAATATCACATATCGCTTTTTAGTTCTTTCATGAATACACTAATTGGGTCGTCCCATGTTGTTCGCTTGGAACGTAATCAGCATTACATTCCCAATTTTTGTTTCAATGGACTGAGTGGCTGCCGTTTGTTGGAGGTCATAAATCACTTAAAACATGCGCCAATCGATCAGTACGACACCATTGTCATCTTGTGTGGAAGCAATGATGTATTGAAAATGTCACCTGATACGCTCATAGATCAATTCAGAGGTATCATTAAAAATCTGTACCTCTCACTTTAATCATTTATATACTTCAATTCTAGTCCTCAAAGGTGTATTAGAACAATTTGAAAACTTTGAGTGTTGCATTTGTGAGAAGGCTGGGGAGCAAAGTGCATCCGGGTCCTCGTCCCGCTCCCTGGGCAGAATTGTATAACAATTCTGGCAGAGTGATGCACACAATTACCTTGCTACATTAGTTTACAAAACTCATCCGAAATCAATCTGCGATTTCGCTAACCTTACACCCCCCACCCACATTTTTTCAAACTCGTTTTTTCAATAAAACAAAAAGCGCTAGCTAATTCGATTTCATCAAAAATTTGTATAACGTTTTTTTTCTGAAATAACCAAACAGGTCTCTCCAGCTTCCAGCTGGGCCCCTATTGTCTAGGGAAACACCTATGGACTTGAAAAGTTCCCTCATGAAAACTTTTTACCAAAGCGTTACCAATGAATGCATAAGCTTCTCTTTCACTTTTTTTTGCGTAGGAAGGGCGCTATCGACTTGAGAAACCTGAAATTTTAAAACAATTTTAAAATAATCAATATTAAAATAATCAAACAGGTCTCTCCAGCTTTCAGCTGGGCCCCTAGTAATTATTGAAGAAACTCGAGTGATATTCATATTAAATCTCTTTCAGTCGTGACTTGAACAGTTTTTTAAAAATTGAAATTTTTTGCAGTGTCGAGATAAACGCTGGGGGTGTTTTGGGTTTCGTGTCCATTTTTGAGCGAATAAAGCGAGCGGTTATTTTCTATAATAGGAAAATAAGCTTTCATTTAAACTAGTTTTTGGAGCTCCGTACAGCTTTTTCTCGGCAGTAAAAAGTTTTCTAAAAAATTGCTAATATATTGAATTCGTTCTATTTATTTTTGTTTAGTTAATCATTTTTTGACAAAAAATGTATTAGAGCTTTTGCCTTGTTCTTCTCATCAAGTCGCGAGTAAAAATGACTCAATTTAAAAAAAAAATGTTTTATGTTTTTTGATTGTGGTCGGAACTTTCTGTGCTTCTTAAATAGTAACTGGCAATTCCTGTTCGTTCAGCACATAGTCAGTCATCTAGGAAAACCACTAAAAACTAAGAAAGTATTCGATTCTAATCTTTTTTGATTTATTCTTGCAGCAGCCAAGTACTTTTCTTTTGTTATCCTTTTTTGCAACAATGTTGTAATTGAAAGATTATTTTTTAAAAGTTTGGAAATCTTTGGTTCTTATTGCCGAGTTTCAGATCGGAATTGAGTATAAAACTATTAAGAGTTACGGTCCTTTTCAGATTGATTTGAGTTTGCTTAGTAAAAATGGACGCAGGCGATGCTGAAGAAAATGATGGGCCACTACCCATTGCAAAACTAGAAGTTAGTGAAGCATTCGAACAGGTCATCTGAGAGAGGAGCAAGCAACGTATATTTGTTGTGAAATTAGAAACATTTGAAACGTAATTTTTAAACAAATTTGGAAACTATTTTATTACACGCTAATCGACACAAATGCCAATAGACCGGTTCCCATAATAGTGATTGTATTATGACGCCACTTTAAATGCGTTTCCTTGTCGATGCTCGTCTAGTGATTCGAACAAAATTATTTTTGGTTCCTGCGAATCGCAGAGGAGCTATCAGTAGGCCTTAATAGTCCTGTCGAGGATAGTCCATTTTTGTTATCTACCACATTCCAGACTGTGTTATTTTGTTGAGCGAAGCTCTTGTTTGCGACTCAAGGCCGTTTTTTGCGTCTAGAATTTTCACGTGGTACCACTATTGCAGCCGAAATTGGTCTTTGTTCTAAATATCATTGGTGTACAGAGAAAACAATAAACGGAATTAAATTCTACTGGCTAGTCGTTGTTGAATAGTGTGTTTGATTTTGTAGAGTGTGGGAATAGCAAGTGGGGACATCAAGAAGATGGGGGAGGCTGGTTACCACACGGTGGAGAGTGTAGCATTTGCACCCAAGAAGTCCATACTCGCCATCAAAGGCATCTCTGAACAGAAGGCCGACAAAATCATGGTAGGTGAGCGAATTTTGTGTTGTCGAATTACCTGACGGAATTGGTTGTCAAATCTTGAAGGCTTGATTTAGTTCTTGAAAGTTACTCGATTTTAGTTGTCGAGCTATGATAATTCAATAAAATAAAATAAAATATTTGCATAGCAATTTTGTTCCATATTTTACTGAGCAATAGTATTGTCGCTTTGAGCTTAGTTGGATTCAAAGAAAAAAGTTTAATCCTCTATAATTATTTTTGTTTTCAGACTGAAGCTTGGAAGATGACACCTATGGGCTTCACTACGGCAACCGATTTTCACCAGAAGAGGGCAGACATAGTGCAATTATCTACAGGGTCCAAGGAGCTGGACAAACTGCTTGGCGGTAAGTGTCTTGTGGTTCTAGGCTTTTGGTTGCTTTTTTTCTCCTGCTAGATTACACATGTGATTCTTACAAGAGACAGGCAAAAGATATATATATTTTTTGGCTCGTCTTAGATTTCTTTTTTTCCTGTTAATTTCCTTAGTTCAACAAAAGCTCTTGTTTGCTTCTTGTAGTACTTATTCGTTTCGAATGAAAAACTATCTAAATTTTCTGAAAAAAAAATTACTCATGCACTGCCAAATATAGGCGAATAAACTGTTATTCTGAGCACGTTGAATGTGATTAGGCGGAATAGAGACTGGTTCAATCACGGAGATATTTGGCGAGTTCCGAACTGGTAAGACTCAATTGTGTCACACTCTGGCTGTTAATTGCCAGTTGCCTGTGGACATGGGAGGGGGCGAGGGAAAGTGTCTCTACATTGACACAGAAGGAACATTCAGACCAGAGCGACTGCTGGCTGTCGCCGAGCGGTAGGAGCTGACTTCATCTATTTAACAGAACTTAAAACTTCAGACTTATTTTTTCATTTCTTCTATAATAAATTATGCGTTAGATCTTTGAAATCTGTTGCCTGCTAAATTTTTTTCCTGCAAAGCTTCGATAGGAAAAATTTGTCCAAGTAATTTTTTCAGTGAAATTTATATACTTTCACTGTAATAGGATGGATATTCTCTTGCATATTAGTCACGTCGGTCATCATTTGCAGGTTTTTAAATCAATCTATTAAATAACGGAATTATAAAATGAGTTTTGAATTTGGTGAAGCCATTTGACAAAGGCTGTCATCTTTCGAATTTTCATTACTTCGAAACTTGTGGTTCTAGATTGACACAAGCAACACAATGCTGTTTGTGTGAGCTCTCAAACTTCCAATTTTCAGCCGTTTTTGTTCTGTGGAGGAGCTCGAAAATAATCGTGATGATTAAGACAATTTTAGCTTAAATTACTTTCTAACAATTATTTAAATCAAATTAGAAGATCAATCTTTGGCTTTTCACCCGCTCTTCTACTGGACAATTGAGTCTGAATGGCTAAGTTTAGACTTGTTGTTTTCTCTTCGCAATTTTTGAAATAAATTGGAAAGGCGTGGTTTTAGAGAATTTGTTTTTGCTGTTTTAGACATGGACTTAACGGGCCGGATGTGTTGGACAATGTGGCCTATGCCAGAGCATACAATACAGACCACCAGCTGCAACTACTGCACCAGGCATCGGCCATGATGATAGAGTCCCGCTATGCTCTCCTTATAGTAGACAGTGCCACATCTCTTTACAGGACAGATTACAGTGGGAGGGGGGAGTTGTCTGCCAGACAAAACCATCTGGCTAAGTTTTTGAGGACTCTGCTGCGATTGGCTGATGAAGTGAGCATAACTGTGCCAATTGTTGGCAACGTCGTCGACTCGTTTAATAATACTATGATGAAATTCAACAATAGTGGACCAAATCTGAAATAAGCTCTTATGCAATTATACAGAAATGCGCGATAAGATTTTTCGAAGATTTCAGAAAAACAGTTATTATGTAGCTCGAAGACAGTTTCGTTTAATTGCACCAAAAGAGTAAGTTTTTCTCCACTTGAGAAAACTATTTCTGTTTGGTCCGTGCTTGTTGACAGTGACCAATTTTTTTTAACTTACCTTTAGGAATGTTCGTCGGGAATTTCCAAATCAATTCAATTACATTTCAATGCGGGTTTTAACTAATTCAATACGTTTTTTCGTTCTTTAAAGGTTTTTTTTTTGAAGAACAATTTTGTTCTTTAAAGTTTTTTTTTGGGCGAAAAATTTGGTCGTGCGCTGCTCGCGATAATTCCCAAATTGGCCGAACTCTTTCCCAAAGCGAAAAAGTTGCAGGTTTTGCTCGCAGATTTTGTGCAGCGTAAGCCTTTTTCAAAAAGGGACATTATTTTTTAACGCCCCCCAAATAATTGAATGTCCCAATGCGGTTTAGCTTAAGTTCAATTCAGGTCAATTCTCTGGAAACAATTCAATGCACTGGTTTTTTCAATGCATCAGACATTCGTAATTAGCGGTATAAATTTTATTTATATATGTTAAAAATAACAATTTATAGGAAAACTTGGCTTCTAGGTAACAATTTTTATCCAATATTATGTAAGTATATTTCTGTCTAGTTCGGAGTGGCAGTGGTGATCACAAATCAGGTGATGGCCCAGGTGGATGGGGCAGCCATGTTCGCAGCTGACCCCAAGAAGCCCATCGGAGGCAACATAATGGCACATGCATCAACCACTAGGTAAAAGATCATGAAAACATAGTAATAAATACGACTGAAACGTGAACAAATAGTTCGTTCATTAAGGGGATTGAAAACTAAAAGTTGCTAGTTTTTCGCTCCAAAACTACAATTGGACCGAAGTTTCGTTGTACTACGTTATGTAAGCGGGACTCTCCGCAGCATAAATCGTCATTTTCATTGAATCACTCCCCCATTCTGATTCTTAGAATATCTATTAAGCTTAACCCAAGCAACAATGTCTTGAAGAACCGAACTAAAAGTTTTTATAGAATGGAAGTTATACCCTTTCTCTCAGAAGATATATGAAAAATAGAATCAGGCGCTAAAATTGTTTTAGGTGCTCCAAATGAGAAACGTTATAATGTTCCAGGCTGTTATTATCTGCTTTTTTGGCTTAATTTCAATCGGAAATCGATATAAGGAGTCGCCGCCTATTGCAATTTTTCTTCGAAGAATAATGTTTCATGATGTGCTCGTGTTTCAGATTGTTCTTAAGAAAGGGTAGAGGGGACAACCGCATCTGTCAAGTTTATGACTCACCATGTCTGCCAGCTTCTGAGGCCAGTTTTGCAATCCTACCTGACGGAATTGGAGACGCCAAGGAGTGAGCGCAGCTATGACGCAATATTATGTCATATCAGCATAAGTTGCTCTGATGTATTGCGTAGTCTTATGTTTCTTGAATAACTTCTTGTTGCTTTCAGGGGATCAGTTGCCATAATTTAAACGATGTTTGAGAATTGATTGTATTAATTTGGACTTTGAATTGCCTAGTTATGATTTATTAGTTAATTATGTGCCTTCAAAATAAATTGTTTTCGTTCTTGATTTTTTTTTTCATTCCAAAAACGTTTGATCAAAAATTTGGTATCAATTGAAAATAATACATAATGTCGGCTGTCCAAATTGGTGTTCAAAAAAATCAACTCTACTTTTTTTTATATTGAAGTTGAACATTTTTCTTCAGGCTGACTGCAAGACTAGCTTTTTTAAATAACGAAGCCACTTTTTCCTGGCGTCTAAGGGGAACTATTTTGGATATGCAAATAGCTGGTCCTAATTAATGTCTATTGATTGCTTTTGCGTACATGGCAATCATTTGAATATAAAGATTTCGTCTCAGAATTGGACTCGGCGTCTGTTCAAAGGCAACTACTCGAAGCCTACTGTTCAAAGCGTATGTTCAAAGCCAACTGAGCATGCCTGGTGTTATTTCGATAAACGTTTCAATAGTTTTTACGCTTGCAATTAGCAAGCGTTATCAAATCGGAATATAGACTTTTTTGCGTTAACATCTGGTTTAAAAAATCACTGAATATTTTTCAATTCTGCAGCAAACATGCTCAATTTCTTAAAAATTCAAATTCAACTACTGATTACAAAAACTAATTGACACCTAGGATCGAATCCGTTCAGCACTTGATTTTTCAAAAACATAAAGTATTTAGTGTCCTAAAAATTATAGTCCGATCAGTTGTCTGCTCTTTTTGTCGGCTTAATTTCCAAATTTTCTACCTTTTTTTGTGCTGTGAGCTAATTCGATTGAAAATAAAACGGTCTTTGATTTTTTATTACCCTTGCGATAAGCAAGCGTTTTGCAATCGGGTACTAGACTTTTTCTCATGAATAACTTGGTGCAAAGAATGGTATGAATTAGAATTGGTAAATTTATGTTCAGTTCGCAAGTAATTAAAGGCTTGCACATTTAAGCCTAAGCTCGAAACCATATAAATCAATCTAATCACCAGAATGGATGTTTTTCTGCTTTTTTGTTTTCATTTTTCATTTTCTTTTTTTTAGGTTTCATAGGTGTCGGCTTTTATTATATCGGCTTACTGGCATCATTTTGTTTCATTTCACGAGCAAATAAAGCTGTGTTTTTGTGTGTTTTGAGGGCGAGGAGGACTTGGTAACTTTTTATAGGCCTTAGTCTTGTTGATTTTTTTTTCGGCTTAAAAGGTTTATACTAAGAAATTTTCTGATTTTTACCACTCGGTAATTTTTCTCCGATGATAATTTCCTATTCTTTCGTTTTGGCATGTTTTTTTTTCAAAACTAGCATGATTCGTTTTGATACATATAGTTTTTTCACATTTTCGAATTTTGTTTTCGATTCTTTTCCGACATAGTGGCTTTTTTGTTTTGTAGAAAGCCACTATGCTCGAAACCATACGCCTTCTTTTTTCTTGTTATAGCCTTCTATTTTGAATTGTGAATTTTTAGCCTTGTAAAAATGTACTCTTACTTAATACACCCCGGACATTTCTGTTATTCAAAAATTTTGATATTGCGGTCAGTATTTTTCAGCTGCACAGCTTTTGGTTAATTTCACAAGTTTTTGTCAGAATTGAGCAATTCAATAACTTAGATTTTTTCACAACGATGGCACCTTGAATTGTTTCAAATATGAGTAACTTTTTTCAAAAAAAGTTGTATTGAAAAAATGTATTTTCAATTTTGACATGATTTTTGTCTCAAAGACAAATTGCGAGTTTCGTATGGTAATCGAGATTGTTGTCATTACTGGTTCGAATTTTATGAAGCTATTTGATTTTTTTAATTTCTTGTTTCTAAAAAAACATTTATTTTCGTCTATGGATTTTTAAAATTTTCTTACTCGTTTATAAAAGTTAGATATGCTGGAAATGATGTAATTGTATTGATTTCATTTTTCAGAGGTTTATAGTTCTTCTGTGAAAACTTTTATGGCAATTGTTTTGACTTGCGAGTGGGTTCTAATGGTAAACTATAATTTTTAAGAGGAAGGTAAACTCCACTAGCGAACATTGAAAGTGTAATTCAAGAAAAATGTGATCGACTTCTAGTTTTGATAATGGAGATTAATTTTCAGAATTTCCTTCGGAATAAAAATTTTACCTATTGATCAAATTTTCTCAAATTTAGTTGATTTAAGCAAAATTTGTCGAACATAAGTTGTTATTTAAATTCAAAGAGCTTTAAGGTCATTTTTTTAAAGTTTTTAATTTTGAAAATTAGATATTTTTCTGTTTTCTTGTGTTTGTTGACTTTTTTCCAACTGTCTGTTGGCTATGTTTTCATTGTACCAACTCTACATCTTTCACCTTTTACACCTCTTACGTCTTACTGTTTTCGTTTTTCAGAGGAGTTGGGGGGCGTTAGTTCAAGTCATTTGAGAAAAATTTGAGAAAAATGGATTAATAGATAAAACTTTTATTTCACTGGGAAATTTGAGAATTGAATACCATTTTAGAAATTGGAAATCCATCCGATTTTTAGTGACCTTTAGATTTTTGCTGTTCGATAGTGGAGTTTGCCTTCCTTTTAACAAAGGAAGGCAAACTCCACTATCGAACAGCAAAAATCTAAAGGTCACTAAAAATCGGATGGATTTCCAATTTCTAAAATGGTATTCAATTCTCAAATTTCCCAGTGAAATAAAAGTTTTATCTATTAATCCATTTTTCTCAAATTGGGTTAATTTTATCACAAAAGCACACATCATAAATTTTTCTTGAAATTCATGGGCATATTTTTGTCTTAAAAACTCGAAAGTTGAAGCTTTTTTCATGAACAAGTCAGTTTTTTTTCTGTTTTATTGCTTTCATATTTTTTTCCAACTGTCAATTGGCTATGTTTTCAGACTTATCGAAAAAAAAAATAAACTAGTTTAGTAACCAGCTGCAATCCGAAAATAAAATGCTCGACCACCCAAAACTCCGAGACTTAGGTCAGTAGAGAGAAAATTTTTAATTTGAACAAACCCACCGTAAACTTTTCCGGAAATTTTTAGAAGTGCGCTCTATAAACCATCCTTAATTGTAAAAAATGCGATGAAAGAGTTGCATATTTCAACTAAATCTAGAAACCACATAAATTAATCTATTGACCGGCAGCTAAAAAAACGTGACTGCCCAAACGTGACTGCCCGTCAGTAATTAGATGTTTTGTTGACGTTAAAAACTAGTTTTTTATATATTCAGGAGGTATGGAAGAGTAACCATTATGAAAACATCGTTTTTTTTTGAAAAAATGATATAAAACTTGAAAGGCTTGCATTTTTCAGCTTAGCTCTAAACCATATAAATCAATCTAATCACAAGAAGGTAGAAACTAAAATCGAAAGATCCATATTTACCTAAGCATAGCTTGTGTTATAGTATGAACTATCTTTTTTCCAACCTAAGTCGCAAATATTGCTGCGAAATTGTGTTCATTTTGAATGTGTTCATTTTGATCAATAACCAGCTATTAATTACAGCCAATGCTAAGGATATTAACACAGACTATCATTGCTCCGACTTTCGTAACGGAATATTTGTGCTCGGGGTGGTATTTTTTAACTAGCCATTTTTGACGGGATTTTTCTAATATTTATTTGAAAAGTATTGTTGTCCTGAGCTTAAATTTGGAAAGATATTTCACCTGTGATCATTTTTGGCAGAGTTATGGGGGTTTAAAAAATGCCATTTTGGTCAATTTGGGAAAATTAATGCACTATATATTTCGCGCTAGTAACGCGTAAGCGGAGATTTAATCCGTCTTAGAAATTGTTCCAAATTGGTTGAAGGAAGCTTATTTGCCATAATTGATTTGTTACCAGGAGCGAAATTTATCATTTTGTACTTTATATGGCGTGTGGCGGATGGTTTTCACAAAATTTCTCAAATTAAAAAAAATTCTTTTTTATACATTTAATGTTTTCATGTTAGTACTGCTCCATAGACCTTAGAAGGCCTTCGGAACATCCAGGTCTTCTCCCTGATACAAGCAGTCTTGTTTTTATGTATTTGATTGGAAAAGGATCATGCAATTTGTCAGTAACGCATTTTCTTCTCACAAAAGTTTCAAATTGAAAAAAAAAATAATTTTATTTCAATTAACACTTAATTTCAGTCAGAGCATTCAGGGGTTTGCCCTGATACGAGCAGTTTTGAATTACAAATAGCACTTTAGCTTCAAGGTATGAATTGTAGCGTAGAGGTAGGGAGGAGACCCGCAACAAAATAAGAGGGTAAAAGCTGGGCAGTGTCGAATGTTTTTAATGAACTTTTTCGTATACTAGCTAAAATGCGTTCGCTCTATAATTTGAGGCATGTGCAATAGGTAATTTTTTTTTCAAATTGACTGGTACTGCTAATGCGTCGTAATTGGCTTGCGTCCCTTAAGAAATTTTGTAGACTCAAATTTTGACTCATTCAGTTTTTTCCCAGTAGCGTTATCGGTCATGTTTTTGCTTGTTTATGCGAAGTTCAACTTCGCCTCTGTGTTTATTTTAATTTCGAAGCCATATAAATTAATCTAATCTTTGTAATTTAAACAAAAATATAAACCCCAGATTAACGAGATTTTTTTGTGGCCTAGTTTGTGGAAACATTTTAAATTTTGAAGGCTTTCGTGTTTATGTCTGATATCCTTGTATATTATGACCTGATCTGTTCAAACGAATTAACGTATATTTTTTTTGAAGGATGTTTTGGATGATGATTATGTGTGTTCTAATATTGTTTTTTTTCATGAAAAATCAGGTACTCCAAATCCGAGGCGGAGGGGGATTTTGAAAAAATGTTCGAAAATTTTGTCGATCCTTTTTAAGGTCAACCAAATTGATTTTCCTGTCACCCCCGTTTATGGGGCACTTTTTGGACTTGTTGACTGAAAAAAGTGCGTTTGTTCGGCGCGCGCTCCTTTTAAAAATTAGTGTATATTGGCGCTTTTAGAAAAATGTTCGAAAATTTTGTCGATCTTTTTTAAGGTCAACCAAATTGATTTTCCGGGCCTTCCCGTTTTTGGGGCACTTTTTGGAAAATGTTGACTGAAAAATAAGCTTTTGTTCGGCGCGCTCTGCTCTTTAAAATAAGTGTATATTGACGCCTTAAGAAAAATTTTCGGGTTGGTAAAATGAATGTCATAAAATGATACCAAAGGGGGACCCTTTGATTGGTGAGGGTGTCGAATCCCTGAGGGGGGCGTCCTCTTTCGATTTTGTTTTTTTTTATCTTCTTGTGATTAGATTGTTTTATATGGTTTCGAGCTTAGGCTTAATTCGGGCGGTGATACCGATCTTATTTCGGGCAAGTGAAGCGAGTGAGTAGGTGTTATAATAAAAAACGTTTTTCACTTAAGCTGTGAAAAAATAAGTATATTTTTTAAAAAAAGTTTCGTTGTTGGTTAGTTTTATTTTTTTTTAAACGCAGTTGGTTCTTCCGTATTTACCAACGCATCGGCTATAGGGACGGTTCCGTCTTGCGGTCAACCCATCTGCTAGTCCTTTCTAGAAAAAAAAACAACCTTTTGTGCTAAAATGCTGTCACCAGTGTTGCAAAAGAAATGTGTCGTCCTTGACAAGCTGGTCCATACTTGTTTTTGTTTTCATTTTCCGACTTCAGTACATGGTGGGGTTGCAGTACAAGAAGGAAGGTCCATAACGTTGGAGTTACTCAGCAAAGTGGTAAGGCCTTCCCTTTAGTCGTTAGATCGTGTGTTTGATCCCCTGCCATGGCAATGATAGTGCTTGAGGACGAGCGCTCACTTGACCTCCAGCTTCAGGTCTACCACAGATTGACCAGTTTTGGCTGCAATATTTGTACCATGTGAAACTTTTAGAAGCCATCGAATTTTAAGCCTTGAGTCACAAAAAGCTTTGCTCAACAAAATAACTCAGTCTAGAATGTGGGGAATAATATAAACGGACTATGCTTTGACAGACCAGATAGCTTTACTTATAGATTACTCTGCGTGAGAATCACAGAAACCACATAAAAAGTCTGTGTCACTGTTTTTGTAAAGAGCACATTGCGAAAGCACTGACTATTTTGCAGATTGCTGCTGTTCCATAGGATTATTCTTTGGTGGATTTTGTTGCATTTCGGAATGATTTCGTTTTTTCCTTCGATTACTGTATATAATGTTTTGGAGTTTTTCTCTGTGCGTATATTTAGTTGCGGGCTTATTGAGCTGGTGTCTTAATTGCACACTTTATTATGATACTGGAAAAACAGGAGTTTTTTGCTCATCTTTTTCGTTTATGATTCGTTCTGTGTATCGCAAGTGGAGCGAAGAACCGATTCGCTTGTCTAGAATTGAGTAATGGGCTTCAGTATAGAAAAATCTGTAATCATCAGCCATTATAGGGACATCCAGGGGAGGGGCGGATCTAGGATTTTCTCGAGGGGGGGCGGATTTTCAAAAAAATTTCCAAAATTTTGATTTTGACGACCTTTTTTTTTTTTTTTTTAGGTCGACCAAATTGATTTTTCGAGCTCTCCCAAAGCACTGTTTTGGCCCTACTTTGGCTAAATTTTCTGCGCCGCAGGCAAATTTTTGAAAAAACAGTCAAAAAAGCCGTTTTTGGGCAATTTTTGAAAAATTTTGACAAAAAAATCGCGTTTTTTTGGCGCGCGCTCTCCCTCAAAATTAGTATATATTGGCGCCGAAGGCGCCTTTAGAAAAATTTTAGGGTCGGTCGGCCAAAAATGGATTTCTGAAAAAGTATCAAAGGGGGGACCCTTTGGGTCGGCAGGGGGTCGAATCCCTGAGGGGGGGGCGTCCGCCGCCCCCCCCCCCCCCTAAATCCGCCCCTGGGGACATCTCTTGATATCCTTTAGATTTAATGCTATTCTCATGAACAAGAGTTTGCAAAATAGTATTCTAGTTATTGGTCTAATTTTTGTTTGTGGACTATAGTGGTAAGTGATGCTGTGTCTATTTTGATGTTTTATTATAACTTTGGAGAAATGAATTCTTTCTTTCTTTCTTTCTATAGTGGCAAGTCAAATTGACGTCATAAACAGCTAAGTGTTATAATGTGATATTCATTCTATCAATTTCAGATTGAATGTATTGTAATAATGTTAATTAGTATTAAGCCTTAACTAATGCCTGCTCAGCGCTTCTGGCTTCAAAGGGTCAGTGATGTAGATTATTTGCTTTTATACGTTTTTACTGAATAAAAAATGGCTCTATTTGACTGCTCTTCACTTTATTAAGGTACACAGTGAAAATTTTATACCACGAAGGACTAGTCTAAAGGTTGAGCAATTATTGTGCCTTGTACAGAATTCCCTCCCCCTTTTGCAATAGGGGCAGAGATCGTAAAAGCACTTTTTCGAAAAAAAATAAGCGATATGGCGGAAATTATAAGAACATGAATTGTGGATTTTGTTGGAAGTGCGGTCAAAAAGTAGCCATAAAACAAGCACAATCGAATGTCATAAAGTAGACAATTCGTCAGCCAATCACAAATGAGATCAGAAAACGAACGTACGAAGTATTTTCTCTTCTCTATTCTGATTGGCTTATACGTGTCTACTTTATGGCACGTCTACTTATTGCTACGTAACCATTTCGTTGAAGTATAGCGACAGTGAAACCCAGTCGATACTTTTTCTAAATAAACATATTTTCAAGAAGATTATTCAAGAAGCCCAAAAATACGTCAACGATTAGACGTCCGTTTGAGACTAAATTCACTCTTTACTTCGTAATTCATTCTTGGCAGAAAAATGTGGCTCGCCGAAAATCTACAGTAGCGTATTCGAGTTGTAACCATCAAGTTCAACTTAAATCTTTTCAAGTCCACTCTAATGAAAGATTTCGGGTGCATTTTTAAATCATCTCTGAGAACAGGTTCAGTCAAGTAGCTGAGAAAGATACGTGTAAGTTTGTAATTGTTATATCCAAGCTTACAAATTCGGAAAAACTTAACCATTCTACATCACTGACTCTGAATCTAATTATCATCCAACCGACAGGCTTTGCAAAGTTGTCTTACGAGTCTGGTTTCGTCGCCCGAATTCAAGCAACTCATCAAGAATTTGATCGCCGTCTCTATCTTGGTGGGAGTTCTTTTCTTACTAGCTGGAATTGCTATCTTCTATCTATCCGTCTATCTCATCGTGGCCATATTTGATGTTTCTCCAGGTTGGTATTGGGCGATTTGTTGGATTTCGACAAAAAAACAGACCCAGCCCACCCCCATTCCCCGAATTGCATGTGAGGTGATTAGTTGCTAGGTTCAAAGTATTGTATGTGTAATGGTTGGCCTACTATATTGTGGGGGTGGATTTTTGTTAATACGTACTCTGAGATAGGGAGGCATTAAGTTTGTTCGAGTATGTAGGAAATGCTGGAATACCATAGGATAAAAATTTGTCGAAATCTATTTTAAGCTAGTTTGCATCATAGTTTAGTTTTCATGATTTTCTCCTCGTTATATCCATGATATCAAAAGTTTACCCCTAGTAAGATCTTTTCAAGAGTCATTGAGTGAAGTGAAGTCACGTATTTAGGTCACGTAGTTTTTTTTTCAGGAGAAAGTCTAAATTTGTTCACGCTCAAATTTGATTTATTTTGTGATTTGACTTATGTCTTTTTAGGTTCAATTTTTTTAATCGAACCTCCAATAACAAAGTGTAAAAAGGCACAAAAAACGTGAATGACTTGTAGTTTCGAAAAAGACATCAATTTTTAGGTTTCCCCGCTGAATAAAAAAATTATCTGTTGATCCAGTTTATTCAATTTGGGTTAATTTAACGAAAAATGTGTCAGTCATATAAATTTCCAGAAATTTGAAGAGCCTTAACATGTAAATTTTTTCGAAATTTGAAAGTTGAAAATTGTTCAAAAAATCAATCCAATTTTTTGTTTCTTTGAGTTCATTACTTTTCTAACTCTCTGTTGGCTACTTAGGTTCATTCGTTGTTGCTGAGCAAGGGACTATTTCACTTACTGTTTTGAATCATGCCATAAATCTACATAAATTTTTGTTATTTGCCCTAGTTTTTTTTTCAGCGCAAGAAGTCAGTATCAACAAAATCCTCCCAAAGTTTTTAAGTTAAAAAATCTGAGTCGTTCTCTTTATCTTTTGCTCTACTTTACTGTTGTTTCTATCAGTCTAAACCTTCTAGTTACGGCCACAATGCCGTCTTAAGACTTACCGTGTTATAATTTAAAAGTCTTTTACCATTTTCAGGTTTTACCCCAAAATTTGTGTGCTCTCCAAAATTTTCCAATCCATATTTTTTTGTCTCCACGTATATCATTGCAATCAAGTTCATTGTTCATTCAGAGTTTCGTTGTAGTGTTTTGCTTTTTAAGCTGAACGTTTAAGATATTAAATCTAATCACAAAGTGTAACCTGGTTTAGTTGTCAGACCCCAATTCCAGATGTAGTTATGACTACTTAAGATGGCGTTTCTTGACTGTAAAAGCGACTGTTGACTGTCTGGCGGTGGTAGTGTCAGTGCCTGTGGTACTAGGTTGCACTAATGGCGGACTCTAGTTTAACGTGGGTCTATGTTTCAGCGGGTGCTGTGTTCACAGCATTGGCAGCATACTGTATCTATCGTCTCATATCTAACTGCAGAGACCACAACAGACGTCTCAACATCAGCAGGGCAAATGGATCTTCAAGCGCAACCAGGTGCTACTTGGGATAACACTACTTAACTTTAAAGCAGTGTTATATACAAATGAACTATCTCCCCCTAAAATGAAACGGAAAAATTAATGCAATGAGCAGGATTCATGATTTAAGGTAGAAATGAACAGGATTCATTTAGGTAGAAGTGAGCAGGATTCATGATTTTAAGTAGAAATTTTTCCAGCCTTTTTTTGGCTGTTTCCCGCTTTTTCTCAAAAATTTTGTGCATGATGCGAAAATTTAAGTTTTTACTGATCTGTTTTTGTTTGGTCCGAATCTCTGCGTGTTTTGGTCATGCCCCTTTGTCGACAGATCAACATGGTAATCAAATTGAAATAGCTTATGATGGTTGTGTCTATTCATAGACCGAATGCAAATAGACATGGCGAATAAATGTGTTTTAACTTGAAACCGATTCTTTTGGTAAATAATTTACCGTTTTACGTTCTGATTGGCATTTGGCTGCTTTGCGTTTTGCTCTATACAATTATCATTTTTACTGGAAGAAGTTTACCATGCATGTTATATAACGTTATCATGCCAATTCAGTTACGCGCAGATTCATCTATGCGCGATCTTTGTATTTTTGATCAAATTCTAGAAGATTTTGTGTAAGTTCAAAGTTTACTATAAATTCTTTGCCTCGCGAAGTGAGCCTTTTAAAAAAAATTTGGGTTTCACGATTTTTGTCCCAATTTTTTTTGTGTCTCAAGTTTGTGGGTGGTTTACGTTTACTTGTCTCAAGTTTAGGCAAGAAAAATGTTCAGAAGCTTTTACTTAGCCTTTTGTGGGGTTTATTGATTTTGGAAAATTGAAAAACCAAATTTTTTGGAAAACTGCAAAAATTTAAGAATATTTAATAAAAAGCGAGTGAAAAGTATGACTCAAGCTTTGCACTCAGTTTTTGTTAAATACTTTGCAACTTGTTTCAGTTTGACAATGAACTGGCTTTTTTGTTAGGATTTTGAACAGTCTTTGCAAATTTTTGAATTGAAAATGATGAGATGCTCCGATTTGACGCAAGTTAAATTCTATAATTTGAAGAAATATCTCATAAAAACTAGACCTCGACAACGACACTAGGCGTCGAAATTCTCGGATTTTAGGGTGGTCCTTGATTCTCTGATATTTTGATCGAATGGCGTTTTGCACCACTACCCGCATCACCGCCTCTCTAAGGGTTTCATTACACTAGCCTCAGCTTAGTGTGTTATTAAGAACCTTTTCTTATAACCTAACTCGCAAATAAAAGTGTTTACTAAAAGTGCTCACTTTTTTTGGAAATTTCACTGTAGCATTTGAAATTGCATAGCATTTGTTCTCTGCCTTATTTGTGGCTAGGGTTTAATCTTCTTTCTACTAATAAGCTTCCGTGGTTGGTATGTGACTTTAAATAGCAAGGGCGCAGTTTCGATCTCAGACGTGTGTAATAGTTCGCTCGGAAAGTCGGACACTTCTTTGAAAACAGAGTCGAAAATCCTTAATCATCACTTGAACCAATGCAACATTTTGATGATAAAACGGTCCACTGTTTCTACTTCAGTCGGCAGTATGGGCTGCTGGATCACCTGCGAGGAGAGTTCTTCGACGAGACGAAAAGTGAGTTGCAATGGGGCTCAGTTGACGAGGCCGTAGCTGGCGACAACCACTACTTCGACATCCTAGTGAGTGATTTCGTTTGCAAGTTCATATACAATAATTGAGTTTCTGAGAACACGATGACAGCTATATTTCGTAAGGCAATGAACTCTGTCATTTTCTGTGTTATTTAAATTGTCTCGTGTTCCAAATTTGTGTTTTTTTGGCATTACCTACTCATGTTCTTCAACAATGTAATGTCATTCATTTGGACTTTCAGACTAATTTGGTAACATTGTGATTTATCCAGTAGGCGTGTTCTTGTCCTTTTCTTGTTTCATTATATTTCCTCCGTCGTTTTTGCCCGACCGAATATAACTTTTTTTGTCATTGTTGTTTCTAGCTCTTATTTCGTGCCCAAGCCTTCTCAAGCTCCTTTTTTCAGCGTTCGTTCTCATCGATTTAACGTTACAATAATTCCAGATATTCTACAATAACTTGTGTTTTTCTTGCATTTTTCAGCACATGTTTATATTAAAAACTTCGTGTAGTGGTAGCTCTTATTCACTGTTTTCTGAGGTTGTTTTTTTTTCCATTTCTTAAAGATCTGAGCAAAACAATTGTAAAGATTAATACTTTCCATTAATTTTTTTTACTACTCTAGCTTGGGTTAATTTTTTAAGTTGTGTATCATTAATCGTTTCTCGTTTTTGAACCATGCTACCATTGCTATTCGTTTTCTTTTCTTTAGGTCTACAGCTTCTCACAGCAATACACCTCAAAATGGATTATCGTCTTATTTCTTCGAGCCAAAAAATATGCTTTCCTCCTACTTGTCGTTTGTTCTTCTACCAATAGGCTAATTGTTTGTTTGGTAATTTCTCTCGTCTTTCTCCTTTTCTGGAACTTTTCAAGAATTGTTCTGTCGTCATCAAACTCCATGTGTGCTCTCTGCTATTACTTTCTTCAATTTTCGTTTCTTTTTTCGGTTCCATGAGAAAATTCCCAAGTATCCATTTTAATTCGATCCCTCCGGTTTTGCCTCTTCTGATTTTCTCTGCTCGAATTGGCAGCTGGTTGTAAATCGTGAAAGGAATTAGTAAGCTCGGGCCCTCTTTGTGGTCTCCATTCTATGCTGATCTCGGTATCTCGCATTTCGGTTGCCAACGGTATCTCGCATTTCGGACAAGAGGTATTTTTGCTTTGATTTGTCCTTGCTGGATTTTTTTTGTGGATGGTAAGAAATCAGAGCAATTCTTTCTCTGGCGTGCTAAGTTCTACGTTCCTTTCGTCGACCAACATGTTTTGTGTGAGTTTTCATTGTTTGTTCTGTTTTAAATGCGCGGAGGCAGTTTATGCAGCTGAAGTTGTTGGCGGTTTTCTGAGATGCATGTATTCTTTTGATGTAGATTCCCATTCCACCAACGTGTTTGCATTCTTTTTGGCAAAATCTACGTGTAAGAGATTTTTTTCTCTAACACTTTGGTTTCTGTTTAACGGATCTGGTATATTGTGTTTTTGTTGCCCCTGTCTTGTTACCATTTGTTTATATGTTGCTCTCATTCATTTTCGCTCTCCACAGTTCTATCTGATCGTCGATTCTCTGACTACTGTTCGCCAGTATTGTATTGTGTTGTCGGTCTTCCTTCTTTATCGTTTTATAGTTTGCATGGCCGGGGGCATCGGAGGACTGCAATTTTGGTGGATCGCGTGTTATCCATCCTGAGTACGTGACCGATCCGTCAGAGGCTGTGTTTCTCGATTTTCTAGTAGATGGATTTGTTCCCATCACGTTCCTCAGATCTTGCTTGTTGTTGTCCGACTTTTGCCTTGTTTTCAGTGGGTTTTTTTTGACTCCATACGTATCTGTATCTCTTGTCTATCCATTGTTGGAGTTTTGTCATTTCCCTTTTTTGCCACGGCCTTACAGCAGCGGCAAATTGAAGCCCACTTTCTACACAAGTCTGAACTATCACTTCCCAGTGTCTTTTGGAGCGACGACTTTTAATTTCCAGGGCATCTACCTGGTTCTTGTTTTGACCTATCTCAAACGGGCTTGTTGGTAGGGAAAAAAATATATGAAAGATTCTTACGATAATTCATGTGCCATTCCCCCGGATTGGCACAGTCGAACCCGCCGACGCACTAGAAAAAGAACAATAAAGGCGTTGGCATCAGATTGGCAATGAAAAGGAGGGTCGGAATATTCAAGAATTTTTAAATTTTCGATTCGAATCAGAGCATTTCTGAGAAATGCGGGAACGGCCATTTTGAACGAAAAAATAGAATAAAGACAGTTGAAACAGAGACGCCGAGAAAATAAGACGAATAGTTGTGAAAAATAGAGAAGAAACGGAGTGTCTTATCGTGATAACAAGACACGATAAGACGCTTAGATGAAGCAGATAAGAAGAAAGGAGGCTTCAGTGGGACAGTCGGAGCGATTCCGTACCCTCCCGTACCACGAGATTGAGGGGATAACGACTTTATCTCTGAGGGAAAACGGAATTGGAGGCCCGGTGCCCAGAGACTATCAGAGACTGTGTGAAACTATTAAACGTACTTTTTAGCTGGCTGTGATGCCCTGAATAGTTGAATTAATTCCGATTTTACATAGTATTTCAGAGCATGAGTAGCTAGAGAGAAGGAAAAGTCAATCCATCCGCAATGGATTTAGTATATAACTGTCACTAAAAACATAGTAAATAATGGACTTCGAGCCGTGTTTTTAATGGTAAACACGTAGTCTGGGGATGCGAGACCCAGCTATGTGGTTGTTTTCGCATGTAACGAAAGCTGATCAAAAGTCGTTTGACGGATGGCCTAAAAATGGTAACTTTTTACTTAGCCCTAAACAGACTGGCTAGGTGTAGACGGTGAAAAACGAGTAGAATTAAGGTAACTGACGCTTGCCAGTCGTCACTAGGTGCTTTTTCTACGTTCCGTCACTGTGTAATGTTTGGGCGAATGTTACATCAAATTGTTTCCATCATTAAACAATACATATTTTCAGCTTTTTATATTGTGGTATTTTTGCTCATTTTCTGATAATTAATATCTGGGTTCTTATTCAACATCCTGTCACTATTCTTGCAATTACAAGCCTCAGAAATTACAATTACAAGTTTAGAAATTGTCTAGGGAATTTTTTTAAAACTCAGATACAGGTATGAAAGATTTTTTCCCGATCGAATTGATTTTTCAACTCTTTTAAAATACTAGTTGATCCAATTTTTCCAAAGTTTTCAGCGAGTGAAACAAATTTTTAGGTGATTTTTTGAACCAAAAATTGTTGTAGCCTGTCAATTTCCCGAGGGAGAGGAACTAAATCCGTTACTGGTTTATGTATAAATTATCATCATTAGTTAGTTTTCAGATCAGCTGGCGACCTCCTGAAAAATTGCGTCAGTTTGGTCTTAGATCACTGTTTATTAACAGCTCATTCTTCGCAGTTGATAGTTAAAATCAAAAAATAATTTTGCACATTAATTTCGTTTTTTTATAGCTATTTAAAGGAAATCGCAAGCCGTTAAACTTGGAATTGGAGCCAGACAGTGAACTGGTTCTGGAACAGGAACGTCTTGTGGGGTCTGAAGAAGAAAACGAAGACGATCGCAACCAGTCGCCTATTTCGGAGGACCCTCTGGCAACATACACAACATACGATAGCAAAGCAAAGACGCTCGCTAGAAGCGATTCCGAGATACTTCGCACGGCGGGAATAACAGTCAACGTTCTGATCGAGTTCCAAGACACTGGTAATCCTTCCTTCATTAAAAAAATTACATAATTTGTTGAAGCTGCTGTCAGTTCAGTTACATTAAAAACAAGGATAGTCAGCTACTGTGCAAGTAGCACAGTGTTCCGACCACAGTCTTAAGAAAATACAAAAATGTTTTCTCCAATGTCGTTTTTTCTGCATGTTGTGATAAAAAAATCTGAACGAAAAAATAGAACTTAGGCCTAATTAAGAGTCATAGTGAAATAGGTCAATTGGAAAGCAGTGTTTGGAGAACAATGACTAGAAAAACGAAAAAAAAAAAGTTCAAAAACATTTCAGAAATTTTTCAAAAACATTCCAATTTTTTTTGAATTTTCAAGTTTTTGATTCCTAAAAATGCGCTAAAAAACTCCAAAAACTAACTTTACTTGAGTAAAACTAAGTTTTCACGGCTTAAGTTAAGCTTAAATAAGCTATTGCAATTAATAATTACCTTACTAATTAGCTCGAATTTAGACCAAAAATCAAAAATTACTTGAGTAAAACTAAGTTTTCACTGCTTAAGTTAAGCTTAAATAAGCTATTGCAATTAATAATTACCTTACTAATTAGCTCGAATTTAGACCAAAAATCAAAAATTTCAAACCGGTTTTTCTCGACACAGTGAAAAAAAATTTGAAAATTTTTAAGATCGTTCAAATCACGACTGAAAGGGCTTTAATATGATATATCACTCAACCTTGTCTGATGATTATTTGTGTTAGCTGATTTTGCGTGGAAAACAAAAAACTAAAACACACCCGAATGCAAAGTTCCTCCCCATTTTCAATGATAGGAACAATAAGTTCAAGCTTGAAGTGTCATTCGAATAATTACCCTTGCGATATTATATCGGCTTAGCGGTAGCATTTCGAGTCGTTGTCTAAATGTTTTGAGGGTGGACTTGAAAATCTTTTTGAGATTTGAAAGTTTTTTGTGAAAACAATTGTTTTTCGGTTAACGTGTCTGCTCAGATAATTTATAATTTTGCAATTTATGCAAATTTCTTGATCTGATTTTTTGGTTCGTTTTTTTTTCAGGAAAAAGTCTTATAATTTGTTCACGCTCAAATTTGACTTTTCGCAGTTTGATTTTTAAATTCTTTTTAATTTCACTTCCTTTGCTGTGTTAAAAGGAAGGCAAGCTCCGCTATCGAAGAGCAAAAGTGTCCGAATTTTTTTTCTGTATCTATGCGTTCATTGACTTTTCTGCAACTGTCCGTTGTCTATGTTTCTTCGATTGTCAAATTTTATGATAAAACTTTTAAACAGAAAATATGACTTTTAATTGACGCTTGCTTCAGGCGAGCACGTGCGATTCGTGCAGGAACTTGCTCCGGAGGGATTCACCAACGTTATTCGATACTCATTCCGACCCAAAAGGGCAGGAGAATACTCAATCACAGTGCTAGTTAACAGACACAACATCAATGGCAGCAGACCTCATACGCTACAGGTAGTGCCAGGTATGTAACGTTCATTAATAACAAGAACTATAGTTTATCATCCAATCATGTTTAGACATCGGAAGCAAAATTGAAGCTTTGCTGATAACTGAACGTAAAGTTTTGGTCTTTTTTCCGTTTATTTAGTTTTCGTCGGTTATCTAAATTTGACAAATTGAAAGTTGTTTATTTTTTTTTTGTATTGGAATATTCATTTATTCAGTTTCCTTGGTTCCTTGGTTTGATTTTAAATCGAAAAGTTTTAGAACATCAATTAATTGACTTTTATTGCCTCTAAATTGTCTTCATCATTTAGTTTTTTGTTCACATGTGCCCCTATTGCAGTTGCTAAATATATGTATTCAGGTGAAGTGTGTTGTGGCAATGTGAGGAGGACTGACGACTGTTCGGTCGTGTTGGCTGAACTTCTCAGTGAAGTTGTGTGCGAAGTGGAGCTGAGAGACAGACTGGACAATGTGTGTTCCAACTACGAGCCAATCCCTCTCCAGATGGACGTCGAGTTCCAGGTCACTGCCCAACAGGTAGCTTATTACACATGATTCGATCATCGTTGTCAAAATGTCATGGAAATGCTTATAGCTTATCTTGTATATTCAGTTTTCAATGTCCTGGCCAAAATTGGTCACAGGTTGCGATTCATATAACATTAGAAAAAGCTACTTTTCTTTGATCTTTTCGCTGTTTTGGATTTCACAAACAAATACCTAAAACACTGTATCGCTCAAAATCGCTCCGAAATTAGGCAATTTTGCGGAATCCGCAACCGCGTTTGCCGAATCCAGAACAGTTTGTGGAATCCACAAATAAAACATTTGTGTAGTTAAATTGAGCTGTTGCGGATTCCGCAACTGTAAGCGGAATCCGCGACGTGTAAGTGGAATCCGCAAAATGTAACTGGAATCCGCAATATGTATATGTGTAGTATAGCGTTCAAATTTATATCTTTTAATTACTGGTCACTAGAAAACTCAATCTCAATTACTACATTGATCAACTACCAGTTGAAACGTTTGATATCAGTTTCTGTCAACCCAACTTCGATCTCAAATCCTGTCAACTTCGATCTCAGCTTCGATCCTAAATACTGACCTACCGATCCCAAATACTGACCTACTTCGATCTGAACTTCGATCCCAAATACTGATGCAATCCCAAATACTGACCTAAGTCGGCGATATGCTGTGCGTTGTGTTTCCAAACACTCTGAAGCCATGGATCACAAATATTGAATTTATTCGGCGTTAAGCGTCCAAAATCAGTTAAGCGTCCAAAAACTGACCTAAATTGGCGATATGCTGTGTGTTGTGTTTCCATACAATCTCAACCCAATGACTACAAATATTGAATTTATTCGGCGTTATGCTTCCAAAATTAGTATTTGGGATTGACGCAATCCCAAATACTGACCTACATTGGCGATATGCTGAGTTTTGTATTTCCATACACTCTCAACTCAATAACTCCAAAAAATTGAACTTATTCGGTGTTGTGTTCCCAAAATACTAAAGCTAACTTCCACCAATTTAGTTAACAAATGTTTTGATATTTGTTTGTGGATTCCGCTGACAATGGTTAAATCCTTGCCTATAAATTCCGCATTGCTATAGATAAGAATTCCAGCTCTAGCTTTTAATTGTTCATATACAAGTTCAGTAAAAGACAAAATCTGAATCCACTCACAGTTTGCGGAATCCGCTTACAGTTGCGGAATCCAGAACGACTAGCTATATTTGCTTGTTGCGGAATCCGCAACAAAACAAATGTGCCGATAAAACTTACGTTACAGGTATTTGTACGCGGAATCCACGGAAGTTTTGTAAGTGGAATCCACTGACATTTTGGAACATGTTTAAAGGTTTGTCTATGGAATCCAGGAACATAAACTATGGAATCCAGGAACATACAGACAACAAAATTGTGCGCCTATGCAGTGCACAGTTTGGCCTCGTAATGGTATTTTGAAACTTTGACGGCCTTTTCTCTGGCAGTATTCGTGCGTGTTTGTTCTGTGATATGCTTTTTTTTCTACGGAACTATCAAAATATGAATGATAGGGTGGGCGCATCCGATTCCAATCTTGAAGTACGTGTGCCATCCATCAACCAAAATGTTTGTTTGTTGTCTCCTGTTTTGAATCGATTTCACATGAAAATCGGGAATTGTCCTATCTCAGCCTTTTCGTGGCTAACCAAGTTGACTCAAAATAGTTTAACGTTATCTAAGAAAAACCCCTTTGCTTTTGTCCTAAGTTTCCATGCATCAAAGAAGTCCAAGCACGCGGTTTCTTTAATCTTGTCGATAAACTGGTGCCAATCCTGGGAACCGTGCAAAGATCCGATATGTCAAACATCTGAAAAACCAAAAACTGTTGCAAACATCTGAAAAACTGCTTTACTAGGGCAAATATCAGACATTATTCAAAAAGTATGGCTAAGATCAGATTTATACCGCTCACCTAAAAGATGCTCTATTGCTTGAAATCAAAGAGACCGCCGCAGTCGCATAAACGTGTTGTCATGTTGCCAAGAGAAGGTAATTTTCTGTATGAAGTTTAGAGCTGGTTAAAGGCGACGTGCGCGTAGCGCTCCTATCGGCAACCTAAACCGAGAGTCGAAAAAATTGGAACGGCTTATTGAACTATGTCTTGTTTGATATTCTTACGTCATATATTACGTAAATATTATATTATTACGGATGTTTGACAGCTGATGTTTGACATATCGGATGTTTGCCATAGAAACGACTCATTTAAAGATTTTCTGAATATCGTTTTTGATGCCTTTCAATAATATACGATGATCTGATTTTCCGTAAGGTCGGATCTTTGCTTTGCATTTTTTGAAGAAGGAAGAAAAATTGGAACTGTTTGCTCGTTATCGCGACCTCATTTGTGAAGTTTGGAAAAGATCAGCATTCGTTCCTCGTCTTCCGAAACCAAATCAGACATGAAGAAGTTGTTGCTCCTTGGGGTGTAGTTAACTCTAAAGACGCTGCAATTTTCTTTTATTGAGCGGTAGTAGATTCAGTAGCTCTTTGACGTTGAACCGCTTTAGATAGTGACTTGTATAAAACTGTTTTAACGTTAGTATCCCAGTATTTTCGGCGTAATTGATCGTGAGGGGCTATGGTGTTTTTTCTTCTTCTTTGCTTGATAGCACGCTTCAGTACATACCCAAGTTTTTAATTATATAATTCTTCATAAGAGGGTTAGATGGATGTTTTCGTGACTATTGTCAGGTCTTTTCAACATGTCAAAACAAAATGAAAATCAAAACTGTAATTCTCTTTGCTGTCAAAAATGTGTACTCGCTTATTGACTGCTTCCCTTTACGACGCTACGTGGTGACCACGCTCTTCGGATATGCTGACAAATTTATCTGCGATGGTGGCACAAAAATATACACGGTCTGTTCGCGCTTTGCCAACTGGATTTGTTTGTTAAATTGTTGTGGCGATTCAGATTGAAAGTTTGCGCCTTTTTATATAATCCACGAATTAGTTTTTAAGCGTGGTGCCAATTGTCGCTTTCGACCATTTGTTGCTCGCGACGGATTGTCTCCTCGCGGTTTTCAATACCTAACAACTCGTGTTCGTAACATGCGGTGAAAATACGATTATTATGTCTTGTGCATAATATTTTGGACAATGAAGATATCGGAAAATTAAATATCTGAGAAAAAAGCTTGGATTTTAAAAAATCTCCAGAACTTACTGGAATATCTCAGATTTGTTTCTAAATTTTTCAAATTATTTTTGCTGCACTACAGTTGTTTGTATGTAACAAAGCTTTTAATAACCTCTAACGAATTAATTTCAATAATCTGACCGGGCGTTTTTTATTTAGAGATTATTTTTACAGTTTTGATAATTAATCTAAAATATATTTTCTTTAGACTGATACAGATGACCCTTCTAGTGGCGAAGAGTTTTCGCCTGTGTTCTACATATCGAAGTGTGAAAAGCCAGGCTGTTGCACACTCAACATCCTCCTTCAACAAGCAGGTTGCTTCAGAATCACAGTCAAGTTTCAGAAGCATGTCATTCAGAACGGGTTATTCCAGATTATTTTTCTAAACGGTTAGTCAAATTGAAGGAAATTTGATTTCTAGTTTCATCAATTGTTTTTCAAAAAATAATAAATAATGCTTTTTAAACAATTTCAAATCTTTTCCCATATATATATTTTTTTCAAATCTTTGATAGATAAGATGGAGTTAGTTTTTGAATTCTTCTTCAGAAAATCTGTTTTAAAATATCATTCTATTCATTTTATACAAATTGAGATTCGTTTTTTTTAGACGACGAGAAGTCCAAAGTGGATTCGATTTGTGACTCCTCGCGAAGTTCCTACACTTATTTCAAGGCCGCTTTGATCTCGTCATCCCTCACAGATCTGACCTCAACTTCAATAGCATCATCAGCAGGAGAGGAAGCAGGAGACTCCCATTCTGCTCGACCAACAGTGCCTGTGAAGACGACAGAGGTGTACTGTCACTTCACCAGTAGATATCTAGTAGTGGCCAAATACAAGTGGCTCATGTTCAGGAAAGTCCAAGCGCAGTTTAGACTCACGCCTTCTACCAAGGTTTGCTTACCTTGAATGAAATCTTTGAATGGCTTCTTTTCCCTGCACCTCACATGATTATCAATTTTATGGCTTAACGAGTGGTTTTACAAGATTAAGTATGAATACCAAATATGTTTGTCATAGCTTATTTAAACCGCATTCCAATCTTGATACCAATCGTCAAGAGTGAAGAAAGTGTAATCTCAGAAGCTCTGGTGAGACCAGAACTCAAATCCAATTTATTGTAACGTTTATTAATTGTAAAATAACGAAGTTATTTTCACTTCTATAGGTCTTGATGATTTTTTTTTTGTTAAGAAAAAGTCTTAAACTTAAGTATATATGCACTTTTTGAGTGTAATTCAAATTCATCTGAAAAAAATTTGGTGAAATGCGCTCTCCAATTACGTCAGCAGAATGGGAGCGAAAAAACGTGAACTACTTGTGGAATAAAAAATTTTTATCAATTGACCTAGTTTATCAATTGATAAATTGAGCTTTAAGGTCATTACACAAGCAAATTTTGTGCGATAAAATGAACTCTCTTTTTTCCAACCTAAGTCGTAAATATTAAGGTTCATTTTTTACACAATCAAAGCTTGAGTGATTATGAAAGTGGTCATTTTGATCAATAACCAGCTATTAAGTACAGCCAATGCTAAGGATATTTACACAGACTATTATATTACAAATAGCACGTAAGCTTCGAGGTATCATGAATATGAAGCGTAGATTTAGGGAAGGAGACCCGCAACAAAATAAGAGGGTTCGAATATTAGGGCAGAGTCGGATGTTTTTATCTAACTTTTGGTATACTAGTTACAATACGTCCGCTCTATAAATTGAGGCAAGTAAGTTGGTAATTTTTTTTAAATTGACTGGTACTGCTATTGCGTCATAATTGGCGTGCGTCACTTATGAAATTTTCTAGACTCAAATTTTTACTCATTCAGTTTTTCCCAGTAGCGTTGTTGGCCATTTGCTTGTGTATGCGAAGTGCAATTTCGCCTCTGTGTAAATATGTTTTTGAAATTCGAAATATATATATTTTTTTCAAAAACTGTCAGTATTTTTTGTTCTTTATTCTTGCGTTACTCTTTTCCAGTTGTCTTGGCTATGTTTTACTTTGATTTGCTGAGTCTTCGTGATTTTGTTTTTTTAAAATGCTCTTAAGAAAAATAATGGAATCACCCGATGTACCATTTAAAAATTTGATCTAAATTGACAAACTAAGCTCAACCAGTATATGGATACCTTAGTGCGTTGTCAATCTATTTTCTATCGAACTATTATATATTCAAATGCGGGACCTCATTATCTCGGGACCTGTAAGCATTTTTCAATTTATTATTTTAACATGTTTAACAAAAGAAGTTTTCACGCTTAAGCTATATGATATATCGCAATAGTTAAGAATTTTTCTTCGAATTTTTAGTGAATTCTGATAGTTTGTGTCAGCGAGTTTAAAATTAGCAACCCAATAATGGGATAGTCTCAGGGTTCCCCAGAAGTTGCGAATTTTGGCTCCAATAATGAGTACACAAATCCTTTTAGCTTACGAGATAACGACGATTTTGTGATTTCAAAAATTTTCAAAAAACTCTTATTAAAAAGTAATTCAAAAAAATGATATTCCCAACACTGTATTTGGGTGCCGTCAGGATTCTTTGAGAGATTGTGTGTCCTGCCTCCAAAAATTGCTGCTCAAAGCCTTGTAGTTTTCGAGATATGACACTTCTTATGTTTTTTTTTTCAATTTCAGAAAAACTTGGATTTGAAAAATTCAGTCTATACATTTTTGAATTGGCGTTCCACTTGACACATATTTAAGAACTCTCTATCTTGAAATGCTTAAGTTTTTTCAACGTATGATTTTTTGCATGCTTCACGAACGAATTTTGCATGCTTAAGCTAAATCGCATATCGTAATACTTAAGAAATTTCACTTGGAACATTCTATGAAGTCGCTATATTGGTCTGCTAAAAAGGCATAACATTGCAAGGGTTGAAATGATCACTCAAGTTGACGTTTTAAAGTCTGTTGGAGCGCGAATGCTTGAACTCTCCATTTTTCCTATATTTGCAACGTAAAACTATCAAAATTTTTGTTTCTTGATTTATTTAGCCAAATTTCAAGTTCTCAACTCTATAGTGGGGTGATGTCAGAGTACACCCTGGGGTTTCAAATCTGGCGTCCAAGTTTGACTGCCCAAAAAATTTTGATTTTCGAGATATGGCGTTTTTTTATGGTTTTTTTGCAATTTTTTTTTCAAAAAATTTAGAAATGAAAAACGAAGTGAATTTATAAATGAAAAAATATAAAGAAAAAAAATTTAGAAATGATACTTGAACCCTCAGCCCTAAAATGGGGTGCTGTCAAGGTATACTCAGGGGTTGTAAATCTGGCGTCCAAGTATGACTGCTCAAATTGTTTTGGTTTTCGAGATATGGCGTCTTTTTGTTTTTTTTTTGCAATTTTTTTCTCAATTTAGAAATGATAAAACTAACCGAACTTGAAATTTTCAACACTATAATGCGATACGGTCAGGATATACTCAGTGGTTGCAAATGTGGCGTTCAAGTATGACTGCTCAAATAGTGTTTGTTTTCGAGATATCACTTTCTTTTATGATTTTTTCATTTGTTTCTTAAAAAACTTGGTTTAAATTTTTAACCCTATAGTGGGGCGCTGTCAGAATATACCCAGGAGGTGCAAATTTGGATTCCAAAAGTGACTGCTCAAATTCTTTTGGTTGTCGAGATTTTCTGATGATTTTTTCAATATATATTTTTTTTTTTCAAAAAACTTAGATAAAAATCTAACCGAACTTAAAATTCTAAACCCTATAGCGGAGTGCTCTCAGGGTACGATCAGGGATTGCAAAGCTGGAGTCTAAATACCACTGCTCGACTCAATCTGGTTTTCATGATACGGAGTTTTTTATGATTCATTCTCTTGTTTCAAAAAACTTAGATATGAAAAAAGTTAACGGAACTCAAAATTCTCAACCTTATCTTGGTGTGCTTTCAGGGTACTCTGAGGAGTTGCAATTTTTCATCAAAGTGTGACTGATCATTATATTTTGGTTTCCGAGATGTGGCGTTTTTATAATTTTTTTTTCTAAACCAGTTATATAAAAAAACTAACAGAACTTCAAATTCTCAACCCTAAGGCAGGGTCCTGTCAATTACATACCGGTGTTGCAAATCTCCCCTCTTAGTATGAGTGCTCAAACCCTTTTGATTTCCGAGATGTGGAGAGTCTTATGATTTTTTCATTTTTTAAAACAAACTTGAATTAAAAAAAACTAACCGATCTTGAAATTCTGAACCCTTATGGTGGGGTTCTGTCAGGATGCATTCTGCTCAAATCAGATTGGTTTTCCAGATATGGCGTTTTTTATGAAATAGAAACCCCTGATAGATAAGACCAATTTATCTTCACGGTTGCTTTAAATATCGCAGTTTTAATACATGTTTTAAGAAGCTCTTTTACGTTCAACGATCTATTTGAAGCACCGTAGGCTCGAGTCATGCGCTAGTAAGGGTTAATTAAACTAGATTGAAATATTTTTTTTTTGGTGCAACAATGAACTTTCAACTCCGTTTTATCATTTCAACTGTCGCTTCAGATGGAGTTCCTGTACCAGCCGACCTCAGACTCCGACCCAATAGTGTCTCTGCCTGCCTCTCAGAGATCTCACAAAAAGGAGTCCCAGTCACAACAGAAATCATTTCTTCACATAGAAGATGGGATCCAACTGCCTGTTAATATGTACTGTCAGGACAGAAATGTACTCGCCGCATGCTTTGTACGCAAAATGCTCAAAAATATTGGTAAATACTGTTTTACTCAATAAAATGTCGGCTTTATTTTTCTGTTAAAATGTTGGCTTCTGGTTCACGTATGATAGTTGTTTTCTTAGTGAAAGTGAGTATGTAGTAGCTCCCAGCAGCTAAATTTAATAAAACATTTGGCCACTTTTGCTTGATTGGCATGCTCTCCAATATGCATAATGTTTAGCTTGTAAAACCAAATAGTTTTACAGTCGTAAAGTGAAAAACCAAAGAGCATTTTTGTTGGAATGGAGAGGAGCTATGTATTGGGGTGTTTTTTAGTTTTTCTTTTACCACGCAAAATCAGGTACCATAACTAATCATCGGAATGAGTGATATATCATATCACCTTTTATCATAACCTCTTAGTCGTGATTCAAACGTTTTTTAAATAATCCTGGTGTCGACCAAAAACCAGTTTGAAACTTTTGAGTTTAAGTCTAATTTCGAGTGAGTAAAGCAATTGAATAACGTTCGCTGTATAAAAATTGGTCAGGTAGGCGCAGACAAATTGATTTTTCTAAACGAAAACTAGTTTTGGAAGCTTCATATTTGTTTATTATTCATTTTTTTTTGTGAAAACAACTGTTGTTGATAATGCCTAATCCGCTAACTTTGTAACGGTTTGTATAGTTTTCTCATCGTAGCACCCACAAGAAACGACACAATTTGCAGAAAAAAGGGAAAAAAACTATTTTTTGTCGCTTTTTATGAATGTGGTCGGAGCATTCTCTGCTACTTACACAGCAAACGGTTATCCTTGTTAGTGAGAGTTGGATATTGATGTAATGTGGTTGATCTAAAGTGAATACAATAAACATCCCTTACAATAAATAAATACTGTCAACATCCCTTGCATGAAAAATTTTCTAGGTCCCACCGAGATTTGAACTCGGATCTTTGGATTCAGAGTCCAAGGTGCTAACCATTACACCATGGGACCTCGAGTACGATAGAATCTTATTTGTTTCATAATTTCGAGAGCAAAAGTCCGTTCCAAAGTTTGGTAATTTGAATTTTGATTGGTTTGTTATACTTCTATTACGAGCTTAGTTTATGAGATGCTAGCTAATAAATAATAAATGTGTCACAAATATACAATTGGTCGAACAAAAGTGAAATTTGGAAAAATTAGGATCATGAGCTCTATTAAGCTCATTGCATTGCATTGCAAATCTAAGGAAATGGTGGGGCGCAACTTCCGTTTCATAGCTTGTTTTTATAACTTTTCAATTATGGAATGTGCAAAAAATTGAAAGACTTTTTTCTCAGCACTCAGAAAACGTTTTTGGAATGTGTAATTGCAAATTAAACCATGACTGAAAGGACTGTAATGGGATATATCAGTCGACTGCATATGGCATTTATGTTTCTGGTACCTGGATTTGCGTGAGAAAAAGACCCAAATCCAAAATTCCTCCATGCCTTCGATGTAAGGATCGGTTGTAAATGTGGTACCTGTATTTGGGCGGAAAAAGCGTTAAGCAAGTTGATCTCATTGTTGCCATAGTTTTGTTAAGCTGAAATAGTTAGTCTGCAGCTAGTCCTCTGAGTGGTGAGTTATGTAAATCAGTTTTGTTTCTATTTCTCTGCAGGTGGCAGTGAATCGTTCAAGGACAAGAGGGAGCACTTCAAGAAGAGTCTTGAGCAGCACTGTCACAGGAACGAATACCACACGGGTCAGTCCACCTCCATGGCCATAACAGTGAAGAGAGACACTCTAGTGGACTCCAGTATGAGTGCACTCAGTCGAAAGGATTACTGGTCGAAGCTACTAGTCATCACGTTCCAAGGCGAACAAGGTAAGAAGCATAATTTAACACAAATGGGGCACCGCATGCAAAATTTCAAAAAGGAAAACTGCCTATTGTGAAAATATTTCGTTGCTTAAGTATTTTTGTTGGCAGTTCAGATGCAGATAAGGCCGCTGGGTCATGCAAGTTTCAACAAGCTTTAGCGGATACTTTGAATGATCAACAAAAGTTTCCAAGGAAACAGAAAAAATAAATACGATAATCAAGTCAGATTGATGATAGTCAAAAAATATCTAGGTACTCTTTGTATTAAATTTTCTCTGTATCATATTGGCTTGTTTCTGTTGCAGGTCAGGACTGTGGTGGCGTGCGCCGAGAGTGGCTCTCTGTGCTGTGTGCGGAGTTGTTTGGACACCAGATGGGACTATTCGGGAAATTATGCCCTGACGATCCTAATTCACCTGTGAGTAACATGTCATACAAAATTGATCCAAAAACTGATTCTCAAAGACTGATCTTCAAAGTTCTGTTTAGTTTTTTTTATAAGACATTGACTTTTATGATTACACTAGCCACTTTGCGATTGTTAGTGTCTTAGTACGAGTCTTCTTTTTTTTCTAACCTAACTCGCAAATAAAAGCATGCATTGAAAGTGTTCACTTATTTGGTGGTGGCACTCTGGCTATAATCACGATCTGTAGCCTTGGCAATTTCATAGCTTCTGTGCTCTGCTTTATTTGTGGCTAGTGTTTGTGATTTTTAAGCGTCCGTGTCTGAGTGGTAATTGTGTGTGAGATGCAAAATCTGTAGGCCGCATATCGAATTCGGGACGTAGCCGATTACTCATTCGAGGCTTATTTCTACTTTTTCTTATTGCACTTTAAAGAGCTACTTTTTGTCGTTTCCTGCTAGTGTTTGCGAAGCGCAGGTTCGCCTCTGTGTGATTTTTATGATGATGTATCACAGGTATAATTGTGATAGTGGAGTCCAAAGAAACTGCAAGGATCCCTTATGTGAATCCACTGACTCAACAAAATATATATAATTCTTCTCATTATTGGTTTCATTAGGGACCCTATCACAGTTGCCCAGTCTCATAAATGAAATAGATTTCTGACATATTTTGGTAAATCGTTTTCCGCGTTCAACAAGTCTCGAGTTCAACAAATCAACTTCAATGAATTTACTCACATCTTGTTATCTTGGAGAATTTTTCCTATGGATTTCTAATAGCAGCGTATCAAACAAATTACGCAAGTGCTCTCGGATTTGGAGGTGATTGCAGCTGTTATCATCATGGACATACCTTTCATCTTGTTCTAAACTAAAATCGTTTCACTTGTTTCAGCTGCACCCAGTTGGTGGTCTGTCCCGTTCTTCTTGGAAGTACATGGAGTTTGCGGGCAAGGTGTTGGCCAAGAGTCTCCTCGAGTCCACAATCTGCCCCCAGGCCAGTCAGGCCTCCCTGCCAGCCAGACTTACAAAGTCATTCATTGCTCAGATCATGGGACTGCGCGTCAACATATCAGTGAGTTGCGAAAGAAAAACGAATCTACTCAACAATCTTTTTTTATTATTTTTTTTGAAAATCAACTCATACTGCCATATTCGAAATAAATAGAAAAGCATAGAGGTTTGAAAAATAGAATAGTTTTCAGGTGTTTTTCCACGCAAAGCCAGGTGCCGCAAACAAACGTCAAATGGGAACGAGCGCAAGGAAAAATCCTTCTAAAATTTTCTGGATGTCGAGAATGGTCTGGTCTGTAAGGTTTACATTTTTACACAAAAAAAACGCTGTGTAATACTACCAAGGAACTTTTTCCAACCTAAGTCGCAAATAAAAGTGCCCATTTGGTGGCACTTTTGCTCTATTTCCAACCAGGTCAAATTAATCCACCGTTGATCCTTTATTGCTGGCTAGTGTTTAAGTGTAAAAGAGAGAAGAAATTTCACTTATATAGGTCCTGATGATTTTCTGTTTTTTTTAGGAAAAAAGTTTTAAAATGCTCTAATAACTAGAGAAGTCCATTCAAACATATTACTGTGTTTACACAAGCAAAAAGCTTGTGTTATAGTATGAACTCTCTTTTTTTCCAAAGTCTCAAATATTGTTGCGACAAGATGTGTTCATTTTTGCCAGTGTTCAGTTTCATCAATAAGCAGCTATTAAGTACAGCCAGTAATAAGCATATTTACTCAGACTTTTGTATTAACGCATTTTTGAGTGAATGAAAAGAAGGATGAAAAAATAACCTTTTGATCCGATTTCTACACTTGCGAAGCAAGTGTATTAGTACGAACCTTCTTTTTTTCCAACCTAAGTCGCAATTATTGGTGCCACTTTTGGGACCCTTTACAGCTTTTTCATAGCATGGGCTTTGACATTCGAAGAGTAATAAGTTAAACAGTTGATGCATTTTTAATTCATCAAATGAACCGAAAGAAGTGATTTGTTTCAAACAACATAACAATAATGAAAACTCGGTTTCAGAAATTTTCTAATTCAGTATCTCGCAATTTTGTAAAATGCATAATTTAATTATAATGTGGATTTATGCTTTACGATTTGTTACATGCAAAGTTAGTGTGGATGCTTTCAGTTTATTACAATTCAATTTATTACTTGCAAAATTGAGTCTATTTGTATTTGGTGCCACTTTTGCTGAATAGCACTGGCTATTTATTAGCATATGTAGCTGCTTTATTCGTGTCTAGTGTTTGTCGTTTGTTAAGCTTGAGTGGTTAGTGCTTGGACTCAAAATCTCTTGATCGAATCCTAGACCTAGCCGAGTTTTTGCTAATTCGAAGGTTATTACAATTTTTCTTATTGTACTTTCAAGAGCTGTTTTCTTTCTGGTCGTGTTCTCGCGAGTGTTTGCGAAGCGCAGCTTTGCTTCTGTTGAATTTAGGTTAATCAAAGAAAGTTCAACATACTTTTTTTGAAATTTAAAGAGCTTTAACCCGATATATGTTTCTCTTTGAAAATCTAAAACTGTGTAATACAAGTTAATGAAACTTGGGTTGCGCCTTCCGAAAAGTCGTATTTTGCTAAGAATTTTGAGGCCTGATCATGCAGAGTTGTTCAAGAACCAGCTATCGTGTTTTAATTTTTATCATAAAATGCATTTTTTAACGTAAATTGATCGCTAAATGAACAAAAGTAGCCGGTTCATTTTCAAGAGAAAATTCCGACCACGTTCATTAAAAAAATTTAAAAGTGTATGTGTTTTCATGTTCGTTCTGTTTTTTTTATGAGTGATGCGACGAGGATCAATAGATTTTTTGCAAGTTGATTTTTGAATCTAATAATAAATTTTTTTTGCCTTTCGTTTTGCCAAAAAAGGTCTGAAGGAGCTTTCAAAACTGTTTTTCCTGAAATAAAATTCCTACACGGGTCAAGTAGAAGTTTTTTTCCTATGATAACATCTACTCGCTCAAAATTACCCAAAAATATCAAACCTGTTTTTTTTCGACACCGTTTTTTGAAATATTTTTGTGCGATTTTTTTGGAAGTATTTCAATGGCTTTCGAATCACAATTTAATATGATATATCTCTCATTCTGATGATTTTCAATGGTACCTAATTTTGCATGGAAAAGTTTTCTCCCTATTTTCAGTGGTAGGAATAAGTTAAGGTTAAAAGTTTCCATATTTGTCTGGAAAAACAATCATTTTAAAATCATCTTCACGCTCACACTCACAGTGAAGTACAAAGTTATATATTTTGATTTGTTAACCAGCTATTTGGATCGTAGAGTGCCTCAACTCAATTTAGAGTATTTTATGAGATGAATTAGTTCGCCGTATTTGCCTCTAGCCAAAAATTGGAAATTTCACATGCTTTATTTATACTAAATTGGCCAAAGTAGTCTGAAGGTCAAGCCCCCGTAAGTTCATGGAAAATATAAGTGAAATACTCTTTCAAATTTGAGCTCAAGATATTTAAGCAAATTTGGAAAAAAATTCTTCTAAATACAGTCCCGAAATTGGTCTGAATAAAAACCAACAACTATCCTAAACATATTTATTTCGTCACACTTTATTTGCACAATCGAGCTTACTAGCATTGTGTTATAGTACGAGACGACTCTCTGAATCTCAAGGTTGAGAATTCGATTTCGGTACTTGGCAAACTTTTGTTTTTTAATGCTTATTTTTGCCTGTCCTTGCCTTATGTCATTTTTGGAGCCATTTTTTCCGGCGTTTTGTTGCTTGTGTTTGCGAAGTGCAGCTTGGCCTAGTGAAGTGAGTAGTGAATAGTTTCTAAGCGTGTGCAAAAAGGACGGGTGAGACGGGCATTCTTCTTCTTTTGGCCTGCAACACCGCAGGTGTCTCACAAGGCATTTGTTTCTCCAAAAAGTTATCGCTGTGTTGCAAAACACTTGATAAAAAAGATACAACACAAATAAGATATTTGAACTTGGAGGGAAAAGACCTCATGCATAATATGTATCTACTGACAGTCCGCCAGTTTGAAAATTAAGCTTCTTCCAAGTGTGTGTTTGTGCAGCACCTGGAAGTGGATGAGCCGGAGCTGTACAGACAGAAGGTGCAGTACATTCTAGAAAATGACGTCACTGACCTGGAACTGACCTTCTCTGAAGAGGACTACGACCCCAACAGGACTCCCAGCACCATTGTAAGAACTACATGACCACATTTTGTGCGCATGAACGCCGCTGTAAAAAATGACTACTGAGTTTGTCTTTGACTAGTGAGCGAATAATGCGAGCAAGCAGTCTTACAATAACTTATTTTTGCTTAATTTAGCCCGTGGAAATTTATTTTTACTCCACTAAAACTGTTTCTGCAAATAATTTTTTAGAAAATGAATTTGATTTTTTTTTGATATTTTTATTGTTTTGCTAGTCATTTAATTAAAAACATTTTTTGCCTCATTTACTATGACTGTCGAGTATTCCTCTAGTAAGCTCTAGTTTGTTTTTCCTTGTTCTTTTTGTCACTGATGGATTTCTTGGCATATTTCAGATTCTGTTGTTATCAAACTCTTAAGCGCTTAGCAGAAAGGTATGAGGAAGTTTTGGTTGTTTGTTTGAAGCAGTAACAAAACACTCTTTAGCTGGAACTTTTGCCGACTTTTTTGAAGTAACAGAAACACTTTTCGGTTTTGCTCTTTTTGTTGAATCAAGGTCTCTGATTTTGTTATCTTTAGGTGCACAATCTGATCCCTCGTGGCAGTTCCATTGCAGTGACGAACGAGAACAAGAAACTGTATCTGGACAAACTGGTCCAGTTCAAACTAGTCTCAAATACAAAAACTGAAGTGGACGAGTTCAGGAAGGGTAATGCCTTTTTAGCTATTGATTTTTACACATCCATTTAGTGGGACGGAAGAACTTTTGAGCTATGTTTATTAAAGGGCATTTGGCAGTCCCCTCTTCTCCTAACCCCAGCCCCCCTCCCCATTAAGCCAGGGTGACACTTTTTCTGTTGTCACTTTTTTGTCTTTTTGTCGAAAGTCAACTTTTCAAACATTTTACTGTTGCATTTATGAGTATTCCAATAAAATTTGTTCGAAAAACCCACTTTTTATGAGGCAACTAGGATGCTGTAGCTATTTTACGAAATAGCTATTTTTACGAAACAGGTCACTTTTTTTCTGGACCGAGGCGGTCCCCCTGCATTAAGCATGGTAATATTCAAGCCTTGATTCACTGTTGTTGTCTGTGTAGGTTTCGAGTCGGTTGTTCCCACTGATTATCTGGCCATGTTCAGTGAGAACGAGGTGGAGTTGATGCTGTGTGGAGTGTCACAGATCAGTGTGGCCGACTTCCAAGCTCACTGCACCACACCAACCACCAACACTTTCACACACACCACAACCACTTCAACTAACGCCAAATTCAACACGGTCAGTCGAAAGTCAATCAATCGAGAAGGGCTGCTCTTTTACCCTAAATGTAAATGTGTTTGTAAATGTTGATAAATATTGTTTGGCATTGGGTAAATATTGTTTTCCATAATTGTGAATTTGTTAGGGGTTGGGAAGGTACCATGCATGACAAATTTCAAAACGTACAATTGTTATTTTAATGTAAATTGCATTTGTGAAATCAAAGGTAGCGTGGGGGAGGGCTTTAAAAGAACCTATAATTGGCATATCCTGGTTCAAAAAGTGTCCTGTTGTAAAAGAGTCCTGCAAATTTGGCGAAGAAACTAAAAACTGAGGAGAAAATCAATTAACTGATCATTCCTGCAAACTGTTTGCCGATTTGAACCTGTTATTTTGTCTAAATTACAGGTGCTGCAGTGGTTCTGGACTCTGGTGGAAAGTATGACTCAGGAAGAGTTGGGTAAGCTGCTCCAGTTCATCACAGGCTCCTGCAGACTTCCTGTCGGGGGTTTCCGGGAACTGCAACCTCACATAGAGATCAAACAGAATTTTTCAGCACCGTGCGATCACATGCCAGTAGCGCACACGTGGTCAGTTGTTTATTATGTATTATTCTAAGGTGTGAATGATTGAAGTGAAATTTTACTTATTTAGGCTGTGTGGATAATTTTGCCGGAAAAAACACAGTCGCTATTTTTATTTCCTTGAAATAGTTAACGCTATTTAACTGTATGTTATATAGATTTTTCAGATATGTTCATTGAACTTGAAGGATATACTTTGTACAGTCGCAGAAATTAAGTTTTACACACCTAAGTGAAGGGTTTCATTCCAAGATTACAATGTTATATTACAAAACAGATTGCGATCAACGGTAGTTTCACGGATTGATGTTTCTCAAATCATAAGCTTTTTTAAGAGTAAAGAACGTAGTGGGTACTCTTATTTAGGTCTTGTTCTTTTTTTCAGATTTTTGCGGTTTGAATTGTGATTTTTCAAGTTCACTTCATTTAGTTAAAAGGAAGTCAAACTCCACTATCGAACAGCAAAAATGTAAAAGTCACGAAAAATATGATCGACTTCTAATTTCGAAAATGGAATTTAGTTATCAGATTTTCCAGCAAAATAAACATTTTACCTACTGATCCAGTTTTCTCAAATTGGGTTAATTCTATCAATTTTAAATTGTTTGTGAATCTCAAGCGCTTTAAGGGCGTATAATTTTTCTTCAAAATTCGCAAGTTGAAGTTTTTTTCGTAAGTTACTCGTTTTTTTCGTAAGTTACTCGTTTCCAACTGTCAGTTAGTTATGTTGGTATATGCGAAGTGCTACTTTGTATCTGTGTCAAATTCCGTGCTTTTGAGACATCAAAAAATTATATGGATATATTGCGTTTTCTTTTGTCCAATAATCTCTGCTTCACGCCAAAGATTCGATTACATCAATTGATAAATATCCTTACAGAATTGAGCTCCAAACTTGTTTTGACCGAGTGCTAACTAAGTGAAAAGATGATGTTTCAGTTTCAACCGCCTTCTACTTCCGACCTACTCTTCTAATCAGACTATGCACAAGATGGTGCTGCTCGCTCTCAACGAGGGATCCGCTGGATTCGGGCTATCTTGAACGTTTCATTGTAACAAAACTCAATATCACTTAATATCACTTTTTATCGTAGATTATGTAATTCAAATCAAATATTCGATCCTTTTAGAAGAATTAAATTCTCTGGTAGAAAATGAATAAAATTAATGAACAAAATTGTTTTAAACAAAAAGTACACATAAGCAAGAGGCGGTTTGAGATGACCGGAGGACCGCTAACATAATACCGCATCCTTTTACAAATTTTTGTTTCGCTTTTGCCGTGTTTGTTGCCCTTTCGGTGGGTCCGTATCAAAATTTGTAGGTTGGATGTTCTATGGTGGCGGTATTTGATGAAGTGCGTATCAGTTCCAGGAAGAGGGGAGTCCCGGCAATGAATAAGTGCCGTGGCTTTCTGGGTAAGACGCACGGCCTTTTACACAAAGGTGAGTTCGAATACCGCTTCGGTTACGGTTGGAGACCTGAAGGTGAGACCGGAAACTGCGAAACGAATGACATCTCACCTCCACGGATGGTCCTGCATTGCGTAAGACCGGTTTTTTTAATCAATCAGAGTACCCTAAAAACTAATAACAACAGAAAAAACCTAATCCCTAACTCAGAGGACAACATTACGACGATATTGACTGGATTGGCTGCTAAAAAAGGGTGACAGTTAGCATACTGGTAAGTGTTTACTTCTAGAGGGTCAGATCGTGTAACCGACCGCAACCATGATAATAATAGTGTGTGAGTATGCGCTCTCACCTGACCGCTAGCTTTAGAACTACTACAGTCTGAAGGATATCGACTGCAAAAGTGGTACACATGATAATTCTGGTCGCAAAAAAATCGACCTCAGCTTGCAAAAAAAACATCGCTTAACACAAATAATTCAGTTTGGACTTTGGCGAAATAAAATGCAGAATCTCAACATAGTTAGTTTATCTCAAAGTTTTACGATGCTGTCAATTGCTTGAAATTGAGTGAGTAGACTGCATATTAAAAACTGGCTTAGTAAATCTTCACATACTAGTCAGGTCGGCTTCAGAGAACTCGGCTTTTCGGCAAATTGTGTGTTATGTACCTTATACTACAGAAATTTGGAAGGAAAAAAAGAAAAAGTGTTTTCACATTGTGTTCATACTCTGCTTATCTTATATTCTGATTGAAAGTCGGAATGCGCTATGGACGCAATATTTAACTGAACATAATGCTTAAGGAATTTTTAGGAGACAATGTTTAAAATGCTATCGAGCGTAACGTTCAAGAAGCATTCACAGCAACCATCAGAGGAAGATGAACTCGATCCAGCTTAAAGGCTTCACAGTACCTGCCTAATTTTGTCTATTTCATTTCTGTCTGGAATTGGGACTGTAAAAAGTTCAGTCTGGAACGAATCACTTGAAAACAGCAACCTCCATGCTAAAAAAAATTTTGCGAACCGATTCGCTCTATCAAATAAATGGAAACATTTCAGCGTTTTATAGTTTAAAAAGCTTTCTTAGAAAAAATGTTTCGCGAACCGATTCAATCTATGAAATAACTTCAAATAACTGTAAGTTTCATAGTTTTAAAAGCTTGCTCAGAAAAACCTAAAGTTTTGCAAACTGATTCGGTCCAAGAAATAATTTGAAAAATTATAGTTTTAACATTAAAGTTTCATATTTTTAACAGCTTGCTTAGAAAAACTTTTAATTTTTCGCGAACCGGTTTAGTCCACGAAATATCTTGCAATATTTCAAAGTTTCATAGCTTTAAAAGCTTGCTTATAAAATATTAAATTTTTCGCGAAACGACTCAACCTATAAAAAAAAAACTTATATTTTTTGAACTGATTTCGCGGACTGATTCACTTTTTGAAATAACTCGAAATATTTCAAAAATGCGTAGCCTTTAGAAGCTTGCTGAGAAAAACTTCAAATTTTTCGCGAAATGTTTTAGTCTACAAATTAATTCGCAATATTTCAAAATTTCACAGTTTGAATGGTTTGCTTAGAAAAACTTAAACTTTTGGCAAACGGATTCAATCTACGAAATAACTAGAAAGCATTCAAATTTTATTTGCCTGAATTTTGAAAATGTATGGGGTTTGTTATTTTTTGTTCTGTTTTGCGACGCTTTGGAACTTATTCGCAGAATTTAAATTTCTCAACAAAAACCGGCTGCTCTTGTATGTGCCTGCGTAATTTGCTAACCTCTTTTCATTTTACCTCACGTTCTACGGTCTTCGAAAATATCTGTAGGGGGAATTTTGACTTATCTGTTTTGAATTTTTTTCATTTTCACAAATATCAAATGCTCAGACAAATTATGGGGAACTCCCTTTTTCAAGCGGTTTTTCTAACTTTGCTAGAACGAAGTTAGTGCCTCAAAACAGCCCAGTTTTTGACTTTTTGATCAAATTGTAAAATTTTTCGATTTTTCTCAAAATTGGAGATTAAGAATTTCAAATTAGTCATCTAATTCTTACTTGCGCAGGCGGTTTTTGCCTGCGTTTTCAAAAAATATTGGGTTTAAAATGTCCAATTTTTGAACTTTCGATCGTTTTTTGGAAACTTATTTTTTAATTAGAAAAAAAATATCCTGATGATTTTGAGGTTGATAGTTCATCAAAGTTAACATGATGCTTTATCTAAGCATCATGTTAATTTTGATGAACTATCAACCTCAAAATCATCAGGATATTTTTTTTTTAATTAAAAAATAACTTTCCAAAAAACGATCAAAATTTCAAAAATTGGATTTTCTTAAACCCAATATTTTTTGAAAACGCAGACAAAAACCCCGTAAGGGTGTAGCAAAAAGTTCTTTCTTTTGAAATTTTGGAAATTACGAATTTCCGCATCAGTACAATATATGATTAAAAATAATATAACAGGTAGATCCAGCCTTAGCTGGGCCACTATTTTATCCCCAAATGACCGTGGCGCAGATGCAAACGGATATTTAAATGCGGATCATTGAAATAGTTTTATTTTTCGGTTGAGTTTTTAATGCATAACTTTAGCAATTTGATAGAAACTGCAGACATTTGAACCTAATTATAAATAGTTTGCGATTCAGACAACTTGGTGTTAAATTACCGCAAATCTAAAAAACGTTTTGCTTGCAATCACCAAAAAGGCCCAATTTTGTTATTTTGTTCGAGTTTTCACTGCAGTGCTTGAGATAGTAATGAGAACAGTTCCAATTTTTTTAAGAGTTATGAACGTAGTGAAAACTCTTACATAGGTCATACTGGGATACAATTATGAAACCTACACGGTTTTCTTTTTGCTTCGATGACATCTGTGAAGAAGACACATGATGATTCGCAGCCCATGATATTGCAAGTACATTAGAAAAAACTGATTCAAAAAATGCTGTATCCAGTAGTCTGGCAAATGTTTGACAAGTTCTCATGTCGTACGGCATATTATTAATCGATTTTTATTGTTTTTTTTCAGGAAAAAGTCTTAAAATTTGTTCACGCTCAATTTTCCTTTTTTTCGCGGTTTGAGTTTGGTTTCTTAAGTTCAGTGCTTTTCCATTGTTAAAAGGAAGGCAAACTTCACTATCAAACAGCATAATTGTAAAGGTCACAAAATGGAAATTAATTGTCAAATTTCCCAGCGAAATAAAAAAGTTCACCTATTGATCTGTTTTTCTCAAATGGAGTTAATTTTAATAAAAAACTTCAACATGAATTGTTATACAGTTTAAAGAGTTTTAAGACCATCTGTTTTTGTCTTCGAAATTCAAAAGTTGAAGATTTTTGAAAAACCAGCTGAGTCTAAGGTCAATTTCCATTCACTTCAAATACCGATTTGAAGTGATAGCCTTTAACCCCTGTTTTGATTCAAATATGTATTTTTTAACTACAGAAATTTTTATTTTTTACTTTGTTTTGAGTATTATAGTTTTTTCGCTAAACTCACTATTATGCAAACTTACTTATTTTGAATTGCAGTTCGAGTTCGTTTCTTAAAAAGCAGGCAATTTGAGCTCTCTTGCAAAAAAAAGCCATGCTGTGAATCTGGTGTTAAATTTACAATTTTAGATAAATTTTCAGTTTCTTTAGGTTTTTAAAGATGATACAGTGCTTTCTCTATTGTGAAAAAAAAAACGATTAATCATTCATTTCTTGGTTTTTTGTACTTGGTTTTGTGTCTAACTGTGTATTTTTTCTATTCTTTTTGAGCACTTTCTCGCCTTGCAAATTTTGAAACTTGGGAATGGTGAAAAGCGAGTTATACGTAATCACAACACACTTTTAACAAAACGATATCAAGATCACAAAAATTTTAGAAAGTCACCGACAATAAAATTTCAGCCTTTATTGCATGATCGGTTTTATTTAAAATTATAAACTAAAACTGATGATCCATTACTTCGTATCTTTTTACTTTCCTTTTGTCGCAAGTAGGAATTTTTATCCCAAATGAACTTCAAATGGAGAAGGAAAACACCGCTCAAATAATCTAAAAAAAGGATCCTCGCAGCAATTTTGAGGTCCAATTTGTTAATAACTTTTAGTCATAATATCTGTTTGAAGGGGTAACAGTCACTCGCGCTTGAATATTTGAATAAATTAGAATATTCTAAAAATCTTCGCTTGAATTTTAAAAATATAATAGGCTAACGCATACCAAAATGCAATTTGCTTGAAGATTTCAACTGTTTGATTAAAGATTTCCATGTTTTAGTTTCCCGTCTAACGCATACCAAAATTGCAATTTGCTTGAAAATTGCAACTGTTTGATTAAATATTTCCATGTTTTAGTTTCCCGTATCAGCATTCAATTCAGAAACAATCATTTGTCATGTGTTCAGCTCAAAAGCTGCAATTATATCAAATGTTTTTACTTCTTCATTTTACAAAATAGTTTTTTTGTTACCGGAACATTTTGATCAATTGCGATCTATAGATTTATGTTTTGTAAATCTAATGATTTGTAAATCCTAATTATTTGATTTGAAAATTGTAATATTAAACAACCATGGTCCTTATTGCTAAAAAAAGTTGTAAGAAACTGTTTTGTTTCCACGTCTTGTGATCATTATGTATTTTTTTGTAAAAACTACTGTTACACACTTTTTTGTTCCCACGTTTTCATGCATATTCTGTTTTTTTTTGATTTAATAGAAATTGATGACCCATAATTTCGTAACGTTTTACGT